GCGTGTACTGGGCTTTACCATGTGTACCAGGCTTTAGAGCTGCTACACAGTGGATGTGATCTGTTGCTTTTTCTTATCAGGGGAATCCTTTCAACTGACCTATGCTGTCATTAAAAGAGAAGTAGGGTCCCCCCCCCCCCCTTATTTATACTTACCTAGGTGGATCTAGCATAGGTCTGATGCTGCATTTGTTCCCTGTCAGCTCCAAGGGTGAGAACTCAGCGATCACATGACCGCTGATTGCTGAGTTTTCACATCCGCTCTGAGCACAGAGAGTCAGTCACCACTGTCAGCTCTGCCCCCCCCTCAGCGCTCACTGGAGCGCTGTCAGCTGAAAACGGGTCACAAGAGTGCTGAAACAAACCACAGGAGTGATTTACAGGAGAAGTACAGCCAAAATAGCTTTGGCTCTGCTTCTTTAATATTACCTCTTCAGCTATTCATCTAGGATGTTGATTACACTGTGTGACACATACACTGTATTGAAAGGTATTGGGACACCCCTCCAAATCATTGGATTCAGGTTCCAATCACCTCCATGACCACAGATGTATAAAATCAAGCACCTAGACATGCAGACTGCTTCTACAAACATTTGTGAAAGAATGGGTCGCTCTCAGGAGCTCATTGAATTCAAGCGTGGTACCGTGATAGGTTGCCACCTGGGCAATAAGTCCATCCATGAAATTTCCTTGCTACTAAATATTCCACCGTCAACTATTAGTGGTATTATAACAAAGTTGAAGCAACTGGGAACAACAGAGCGCATGCTGAAGCGCACAGTGTGCAGAAGTCGCCAACTGTCTGCAGAGTCAATAGCTAAAGATCTCCAAACTTCGTGTGACCTTTAGTTTAGCACAACAACAGTGTGTAGAGAGCTTCATGGAATGGGTTTCCATGGCCAAGCAGCTGCATCCAAGTCTTATATCACCAACTACAATGCAAAGTGTTGGATGCAGTGGTGTAAAGCACTGCATCACTGGAGTATAGAGCAGTGGAGATGTGTTCTCTGGGGGGACCAATCACACTTCTCTGTCTGGCAATCTGATGGAAGTGTCTGGGTTTGGCGGTTGCCAGCAGAACGGTACTTGCCTGACTGCATTGTGCCAAGTGTTGCATTAGGTGGAGGGGGGATTATGGTGTGGGGTTTTTTTTAGGGGTGGTGCTTGGCCCCTTAGTTTTAGTGAAGGGAACTCTTAAGGCATCAGTATACCAAGACATTATGGACAATTTCATGCTCCCAACTTTGTGGAAAGAGTTTGGGGATGGCCCCTTCCTGTTCCATCATGACTGCACACCAGTGCACAAAGTAAGGTCCATAAAGACATGGATGAGTGAGTTTGGGGTGGAGGAACCTGATTGGCCTGCACACAGTCCTGACCACAACCCGATAGAACACCTTTGGGATGAATTAGAGCGGAGACTGCGAGCCAGACCTTCTCATCTAACATCAGGCTCTGTTCACACCAAAGCGTTTTTTAGTGCTTTTTGCAGAAACGCACTACAGTCCATTTAACATGGTTTCCTGTGGAACATGTTTACACCTATGCTTTTTTGAGGTGCTGCATTTTTTAAAAAGGTCAGGGACTTTAAAAGCAAAAAGCTGCGTTTTTGCAACAATAGAGCTCAATGGAGAAGGTGCTGAAATGCATGCATGGTTTTGCATTTTTGTTTCTGCCGAGCACAAAAAAAAAATTCCACTTAAACATAAAAAAAGAACTGAACAAAACATGGTAAAAACTCACCAAAAGCACTTGTAGAAAAACGCAAAGCAAACTGCAAAAAGCACTGGAGAAAGCATCAACCGCAAAATGCACATATGTGAACCAAGCCTCAGTGCCTGACCTCACAAATGCGCTTCTGGAAGAATGGTCAAACATTCCCATAGACACACTCCTAAACCTTGTGGACAGCCTTCCTAGAAGAGTTGAAGCTGTTATAGCTGCAAAGAGCGGGCCAACTCAATATTGAACCCTACGGACTAAGACTGGGATGCCATTAAAGTTCATGTGTGTGTAAAGGCAGGTGGCCTAATACTTTTGGCAATATAGTGTAGGTACCCCTTTAAAAGGAAATTCTGCAAATCTAAATATAAATACCAGAATGCAAATATGGAAAAAATAGGGAAGTGACAATGCAAGAGTCATATCAAAAGTGACCTTCAGACATACTTCATTGTGACAGCTCAGAATGTGATCTCATACAAAATAGTCTCTCCTGTTATAAAAATGTTACCTTGCAGCATTTTTTTTTTTCTTTTTTTTTAATAAATAGGATTCCTAGTTTGTTCTGTATTGATTTCAAAATGTAGAAAAGTGCCTGAGCTACCATGTGTATATAAGGTTTGTTGTGAAGCCACTTCAGCGGTAAGATTAAAGAGAAATGATACAGTGCGCAGCCTTGAAGCAGACCTCCTAGTTTTGGCAATATGAAAGTCATTCAGTACCAGCACACCAAATTATTCCTAGTGTTTGAGAGATGACATCATCGTGATCAGTTAGGCATTTCTGCAGTAACTTCTTAGGGCCAATTCACACTATATACAGTGACAGACATTTTATTGCATGGTAAAACATCTGACACACAGGAAGCAATTGTTTCCTATGTGTCCTATTCACACTGCAATGCAGCCTAGCGCTGCACTGCAGCATGCTGCGATAAAATGCAGACATGCTGCATTTTATTGCAGCGCACTGGCCCGAATCGCTCTGCAATGTCAGACAGCGCAGCACGCCACCTGACATTGCAGTAAATGAAGTGTACATTTTGTACATTTCAAATAAAGCTGGTACAAAACAAAAAAAAAAATGAGGGGGGGGGGGGGGGCGATGCTGTGTGCTGAATTGTGCACCACACAGCCCCATAGCCAGCCTTCAACGCAAAGCAGCCGGAGTGCTGAATCGCTCCGGCTGCTCTGCAATTTAATTGACAAGCAGTGTGAATTGACTCTAAAGTTTAATATAACTAATAAACCTTTGCCGCCATGGTAAGGCAATCCTTTATATAGATGTTTAACATTGGGAGGCAGAGGCCACTTCTCAGTTACGTGAACGCTGTGATTGGCTGTCACAGCAGTCACATAGTCAGGAGAATGTCCTGCTGGCTCCCGATCACAAACAGACACTGGGAGCTTCAACAAAAATGGTGGCTGTCTGCACACAGACACTGACCTCCTGTTGAATAAATGTGAATAAGATGGGTAAAAGATGGCTTCAGCTCCTATTCTCCACCTGTACAGAACTTCTCAAATGTGTTTTGCCCGTTTCGGAGCTTAATCATAGAGGCCTCTACAAATAAGCTCTGAAAAGGGTGAAACACGGTTGAAGAGTTCTGTACAGGTGGAGAACGTGAGCTGAAGCCATGTTTTACCCATCCTATTCACATTCATGCAACAAGAAGTTTGTGTCTGTGCGCAGACGGCCACCATTTTGTTGATGTCTACTATAGCCTAACAAGCCCATCCTGTCTGTCTTGTTTCAGTCTTTTCACATGCTGATCTGACTGACACAGGTTTGGGGGTATTTGATATATTCATTGTGTTGGTACAGCGGGAGCTGTTGGTTACAGCTCAGTGCGCTGCCAGCACAGAACCTCGGAGTAGCATGGATGCCTTAATGGCCAACTGCTGCACATATGCATCCATGTTCTGTGCTGGCAGCACGCTGACTGAGCTGACACCAATGACATCTCGTGTATACCTTCCATTGGTAGAAAGAGGCTAAATTGCATTGTAAAATAGACTTTGTACCAATAACTTACTGCCACTTCTCCAATGCAGCATTTGTGCAGCAGGTGAACATAGGGCTAACGCCATCCTTTGAAAAAAAAATTTAGTAGTTTTCAACCCTTATGAGCATATTCAGGTCCACTGGCTAGTAGCTGCCGGACAGAGTGTGTTTCTCTCATCCACCTTTCCAACCATCCATCCACCTGCTTTGTGAACTCTATGGATTATCCACTGTAGAACTGAGCACTGTTATATTTGTTTGACCACTTCAAGTCCGGCAAGTCATTTTCACCCCCTTCTGTCCAGTCCAATTTGCAGCGCTATCACACTTTGAATGACAACACTGTACCCATTTGATTTTTTAGCATTTTTTTGACACAGATAAAACTTTATTTTGATTGGTATTTGTTCACCACTGGGACTTTTTATTTTTTTTGCTATATAAATGAAAAAGTCCAAACATTTTGAAAAAAAAGTTTCTTATAAAATTTTGCAAATAAATAATCTTTCTTCATAAATCTTGGCCAAAATGTATTCAGCTATCTTTTCATAAAAAAAAAAAACCCAAATTAGTTTATAACCAAAAATTATAATTGTTCAAAATTTTTTTTTACATTTTTATTTTTTTTTATTATTATTATTTGTTTTTTGTTTTTTTTTACATACTGAAACCCTAGCAGTGGTGACACTCTACTACTTGTGGGTGATGATGAAGATTTTTTTTTTTTTACACTGTAAAAGCAAGCATTTCTCCTTCTCTCTGGCTCATTCTTGCAGCCATTGAGAAATACTGTGAGAGCTGTGATTGGTCACAGCTTGTCACATGGTACAAGGCTGTTGTGAACAGGGTTGTACCATGTGACCTCTGTGATCATTCACAGATTTCACACGTAGTAAGCAATGACGTCAGGAAGTCACATCATGCTTACTACTATTCATGTGATCACTGATTGGCCAATCCCGTACAGCGATCAGTGTTCGGAAGACACAGCGGGTACCGAATTGCGGTGCCGCACGCGCCTAGGGAGCGCGAACAGGTAGGGAAGCGGGAGGACGTTTATAAAACGCCCACCCGCTCCTGCACTGCTCCTGTCTGGCTTTTTATACACATGGGCCGGATGGGAAGTGGTTAACCACAAGTTATATTGGTTTCAACCTTTATGACACTGTAGAGTAGAATGTTGTATACCAAGTGAAGACTATTGTACTGCATTGTATGTATTGTTATGTACTTCCAGATGCAGCTGTGTCACAGCCTGATCTGTATTTGCAGGAACTCCAGACGCATTCTCCCAGCTCCTGACATGTCCGTATTGTGACAGGGGATACAAACGTTACACTTCCTTGAAGGAACACATCAAATACCGGCATGAAAAGAATGAAGACAACTTTAGTTGTTCTATGTGCAGCTACACGTTTGCCTACAGAACCCAGCTGGACCGTCACATGACATCCCACAAGTCAGGAAAAGATCAAGTAAGTGGCAGAAAGGCTTTAGGTGGACAGCATGGCCTCACATCCTTCCTTTCCTGTTTATATCTACACCTGCAGCTCTGATGAAACTCAACCTGTTCCAAACCACCAATATAAAAGGCTCGAGTTCAGATGCATTTACTTTCTGAAGTTACAGAATATCATTTTATTTCTGCATGTCCTGCGTTTCTCATTTTTAATGTAAAATTGATGAATTCCTCCTCAGCATGTTTTACTGGATAGGTAGATCCAAACTAGAAAGTCAACACAGGTATTATGTAGTACAAATTAGTTTCAAGGGTGTCAGGTATGGGACCTTTTTTTTTTTTCTCAGGTTACTCATTTCGGCTTGCTTCATTTTACAACTACATTTACAACTACATTTTAAAGGATCAAAAGAAAATATGTAGAATGCAAGTGTAAAAGTGAGCGCTAAAAAAAAGCCGCTGTACACCGAAAGGTACCAACAACCTTCAGAGACCAAGTATGATAAATAAAGGTGCAGCGCTAAAAAAAACACATCAAAGTAATAAATAATTAATACCAATAAAATTGCAAGTAACAGCAACCTAAAACTAGAACTCTCATTAAAAGTATACCAAGAAATAACAGTATTGCAAAATGTATATTTCCAATATCAGGAAAATAAAGTGACAAAAGTGCAAACGCACGTCCAAGATGGTGACTATTGGTGATGAAAATTTATATGAATTCTGAGACTCTAAATGGAAGGGTAACATTTATGTCACCTAGCTGTGCAGCCTGTGTGTTAGCTTCAATGTTACGCAGAAGCAGGCAGCAAAAACTGCAGCCTGGGGGGCCAGATAAAGGATTGAGGCACTCTTCCTTTCTCTGATACAAGGCACTATTCCTCCCACCGACACCAAGGATGAGGCACCATTCCTTCCACTGACACCAACAATGGGGCATAATTACTCCCACTGTTAAAAAAAATAGAACGCTGTTCCTCCCATTGTGAACATTGATGGGGGACTATTCTTCCCACTGATACCAACAATGTAGGACTATTCCTTCCACTGATACCAACGATGGGGCACTATTCCTCCCACTGTTACCAACGACGGGGCACTATTCCTCCCACTGATACCAATGATGGGGCACTATTCCTCCCACTGTTACCAACGATGGGGCACTATTCCTCTTACTGATACCAACGATGGGGCACTATTCCTCGCACTGTTACCAATCATGGGGCACTATTCCTCCTACTGATACCAACGATCGGGCACTATTCCTCCCACTGATGCCAATGATGGAGCACTATTCCTCCCACTAACACCAATGATGGGGCATTATTCCTCCCACTATTCCCAACGATGGGGCACTATTCTTCCTACTGATACCAACAATGGGGCACTATTCCTCCCACTGTTACCAACGATGGGGCACTATTCCTCCCACTGTTACCAACGATGGGGCACTATTCCTCCCACTGTTACCAACGATGGGGCACTATTCCTCCCACTGTTACCAACGACGGGGCACTATTCCTCCCACTGATACCAATGATGGGGCACTATTCCTCCCACTGTTACCAACGATGTGGGCACTATTCCTCTTACTGATACCAACGATGGGGCACTATTCCTCGCACTGTTACCAATCATGGGGCACTATTCCTCCTACTGATACCAACGATCGGGCACTATTCCTCCCACTGATGCCAATGATGGAGCACTATTCCTCCCACTAACACCAATGATGGGGCATTATTCCTCCCACTATTCCCAACGATGGGGCACTATTCTTCCTACTGATACCAACGATGGGGCACTATTCCTCCCACTGTTACCAACGATGGGGCACTATTCCTCCCACTGTTACCAGCGATGGGGCACTATTCCTCTTACTGATAACAACGATGGGGCACTATTCCTCGCACTGTTACCAACCAAGGGGCACTATTCCTCCTACTGATACCAACGATCGGGCACTTATCCTCCCACTGATACCAATGATGGAACACTGTTTCTCCCACTGATACCAACAATGGAGCACTATTCCTCCCACTGATACCAACGATGGGGCATTATTCCTCCCACTGATACCAACGGTGGGCCATTATTTCTCCCGCTGATACCAACAGTGGGGCACTATTCCTTCCACTGATGCCAACGATTGAGTACTATTCTTCCCACTGATACCAATGATGGGGCACTATTCCTCCCACTGTTACCAATGATGGGGCACTATTCCTCCCACTGATACCAATGATGGAGCACTATTCCTCCCACTGATGTCAACAATGGAGCGCTATTCCTCCCACTGACCCAACGATGGGGCATTATTCCTCCCACTGTTACCAACGATGGGCCACTATTCTTCCTACAGATACCAACGATGGGGCACTATTCCTCCCACTGTTACCAACGATGGGGCACTATTCCTCCTACTGATACCAACGATGGGGCACTATTCCTCCCACTGTTACCAACCATGGGGCACTATTCCTCCCAGTGTTACCAACGATGGGGCACTATTCCTCCTACTGATACCAACGATGGGGCACTATTCCTTCCACTGTTACCAACCATGGGGCACTATTCCTCCTACTGATAGCAACGATCGGGCACAATTCCTCCCACTGATACCAACGATGGGGCATTATTCCTCCCACTGATACCAACAATGGGGCATTATTCCTCCCACTGATACCAACAATTGGGCACTATTACTTCCACTGACACCAACGATCGAGTACTATTCCTCCCACTGATACCAATGTTGGGGAACTGTTTCTCCTGTCACTTTCCTTGGCTGCTAGTTAGCTTCAGTAGAGGGCAGGGGAGACTCTGGGAACAATAGACCCCACATGTCTCATTTAAGAGTACTTGTCATTACTGTATGCTATCACATAGGGGGCTATTGGACCCCTATGTGATCACAGAATGGTTAAATATTAAAAAAAAAACACAAAAACATTTATTTAAGTCCCCAACCCCCATGTACAGAGCAATCATTATAGAGCCTTCACTCAGCTTTAAACTGATAGCTTCATCTCTTTTGGGTACTGAAGTTTGACATTGTTTCACAGGCGCATGTAATTTTAAGGCCCCTTTCACACGGGCGGTACGATTGGGGCTGCCTGTCAGGTTTTTTTTTGCAAACTCAATCGGACCCTCCATTCAACTCTATGAAGCGGAGGATGTAAACAGACTTGTGTCCGATTACACCTGCATACCTGGAATCTAATCCAGTCTACTATAAAAAAAGAAGTGGATCCATCCACCTCTGTCCAGACGGAGCAGATTGGAGGGCAGTCGGGTGTAAATGTAATAGTCGATACGACTGGCTGCACGTAGAGCAGAGTTGGCTCGGTCCATGTGCGCTCAGTTTATGCACAGCGGACACGGACCTGTCATTCACCTGCTCTACTCTGACCAGGGTATCAGATCAGCAATGGCAGTGTCAATATGATAATACATGGGGAATGAAATAAAGAAAGGAATGCAAATAAAACAAAACTTTTTTATTTAAATTTAGGTCAAAATGTGCGCAGTTTTTTGGAGTACTGTACCCAGTCAGAATGCTGTGTTCCTCTTACAATATAGTGATGAATTTTCCTCTCTTACAGAGGCATGTAACACAGTCTGGTGGAAACAGAAAATTTAAATGCACTGAATGTGGAAAAGCTTTCAAATACAAACACCATCTAAAGGAACATTTACGGATTCACAGTGGTAAGTTCATTGGTAACACCTTTTCATCTATGCTGCCTGGAAAGATATGACTTTGAAATTCTGTAAAAACTGAATTTTAAAGATTAAACATAGTTATGTACCCATAATTTTGGAGGACATACTGTCTAAGAAAAGGAAGGAAGGTAATTGTGACTCCGCCCTTCTATTCTTTCCCGCCATGACGGTGTTAGTGAATATTTTAAAGTTAATCTGTGCTTTCCCATGCATGATAAAGCAGCAGATTCACTTCATTGCCAGTCCCATTAACTGCACATACTTACCTTTAAGTGACTACCCCACTGCTCATTTTGGTCACAGAGAGCAATGGAAGGATGGCCTGTGTAAATTGTGGTTAGGAGTAAACATAGAGCCTAGGGCTCCCCCCCAGCTCTCATTTGGCCAAGCACCAATGCTTTATTGTGACAGTGAGTCACATGCTGCTCCATACCCAGAAATGCTTTTTTTATTCATTCCTTATGTGCAAACAGCAGTAGGGGAATGAAGGAAAGATGAATGTATGCTACTGACAGGGCTGGAATTCTTGTTACCCTGTTGCATTGCCCTGAGCTCTGCCACCATTTTATGGATCCCCCACACTACAGCAGTTAAGCCCCCCACACGTATACTATTAAAGTATATCTAAATCCAAAAACAAACATTGATTGTACTGCAGCTTATATCTTTAACCACTTTATTATTTTTTACTACATTTTCTTTCTGTTTTCATTAATATAAAAATACCACCAAAAGAAAGCTCTATTTGTGTGAAAAAATTATATAATTTAATTTGTGTACAGTAATACATAACAGAGCAATTACCAGTTAAAGTAGCGCAGTGTTGAATAGCAAAAAATAGTCTGGTCATGGAGGAGGTAAAACCTTCCGGAGCTCAGGTGGTTAAACTCATTTACTCATTTTTTTATTTGGAGGCAGGATTGTGACCACCACATGATAGCAGTGACTTAAAAAAAAAACCCAATATAGCTTTATTAGTACAGAGTATATGTTTAAATTTTTTTATATATACATTTTTTCCTCTTTTAGGGCCAGTGCACACCACAAATACGCACTCCGGATACATTTTTGCTTACAGTTCGCACCACACTGTTCCGCTGTGTTTTACATGTTTTTTACTGTTTTCCAGTACTGTTCTGTGCAGAAAAAAAAATGCAGCTTGTTCTACTTGACTGGAACTGACTGCACTGGTGTGAACTAGGGTCATTGGTATACATGGAAAACACTGTGCATGAATTTTTTGATGCAGAAAGAAAAACGCACTGGACTGCATCTGGTGTAAACGAGCCCTTTATGTCAAAGATCAATGCAGTGTCTGGAGAGCTTCCCACAGAACTCCTCATGTTAGTACTGCAGCTTACCAGTCCTTACATGTGGTGACTGCCTTTGTTTTCCTTTTCAACACTTTTTTCCTTTATTTTTTAACCTGTTAATCCTTCCATTAACTCACTTCCTGTTCTAGGGTGACAACCTTACTGAGCAGTGTTGTCAGCCTAGGACAAGGAGAGTGTTAAGACTACATAACACTGTTAGGGTTACATAACACCTTCCTCTCTTCATAACAGGGGGAGTTGTGTTGTAGCTTGCAGAACTCACAAAGAGCAATGCTAAATTATAACAATCCAGAGGCAGACAGTATAGGAAGTTATCAGCTAACAAGAATTCTGGCTGGATGCACAGCTATTTTTTTTTTTTTTTTGAACAGATATAATAAAACACTTTCATAAGACATCCCTCAGGAGGATATATAATGAGAGTTTTGTGTCTTGTTCATAGTAAAGTTCTCATACTCCCAGCTAATAGGCTCACACAACCATAGTACCATACAAAAAAGTTTAGATCCACACAGAGCTAGTGCAGGGACTAAAATATTTATTACCGGAAAAAAAAAAACAATAGTATTTATTATTCTGTACCCAGCTCCTTCACAGCATTGCGTGTACTATTACATTATACTTATGCTTTAAGGTGAGCAGTGCATGTTATTCGAGATTTTTACTATTGAGATTCCTACTGTTAAATAAATATGGAGTGTTGGTTTTGTCAGTTATCACTAGTCATGAGCCAAACGTACCTGGGTTCAGTTCAAGCAGGGTTCGGTGGACAGTAGATTTCAGATACCATATCTGGAGCCACTGACATCAACGGGCACATTCACTTACATGACCAGGAATTCCTTAGCAACTTTTGACAGCTGTTATGTTCATGCATGCGGAATGTTCGGTCTGAACTTAGTTGGACCGAACACTCAGTTGATTCCTAGTCATCACTATACCTCATAATTGTGGCTTCTCCCATCTGGGCATGAATAAACACTATTTGAAGTAATTCATCAAGTTTGTTGACATACTTGACTTTTGTGTATTATTTTTTTTAGGAGAGAAGCCATATGAATGCCCAAACTGCAAGAAGAGATTTTCCCATTCTGGCTCTTATAGTTCCCATATAAGCAGTAAAAAATGTATTGGCGTAATTCCAGTCAATGGACGTGCACGTTCCGGTTTGAAGACTCCCCAATGCTCCTCCCCTTCCCTCTCTGCATCCCCTGGCAGTCCAGTACGGGCACCAATTCGTCAAAAGATCGAGAACAAGCCTTTACAGGAGCAACTTCCAGTAAACCAAATCAAAACAGAACCTGTGGATTATGAAATTAAGCCCATTGTGGTTGCGTCAGGAATCAACTGTTCTGCCCCTTTGACAAATGGGGTCTTTACTGGTAACCCTCTCCAGGCAACCGGTTCTCCTCAGGGTGTAGTACAAGCTGTTGTTCTACCAACTATGGGCCTGGTATCACCTATTAGTATTAACCTTAGTGACATTCAAAATGTTCTTAAGGTGGCTGTTGATGGGAATGTAATCAGACAAGTGTTAGAAAATAACCATGCCAATCTTGCATCCAAAGAACAAGGAACTATTACTTCTGCAACCATACAGCAAGCGGGTCATTCTGTAATTTCAGCTATTAGTCTTCCTTTGGTTGATCAAGATGGGACAACCAAAATAATCATCAATTACAGCTTAGAGCAGCCAAGCCAGCTTCCAGTTGTTCCACAGAACCTGAAAAAAGAAGTTCCCGCAGAAGTTTGCAAGACCGAAAAATTACCAGAAGATCTAACTATTAAAACCGAGAAGGATACAAAGTTTACGGAGGAGAGCACTTGCATGCTTTGTGAAGATCAGCCAACAGATTCCAATGCACTTCAAGAACCTAAGCACTATGATCAGAAAAGCAGTACTCCACTTCCTGAAAGTAGCAAGGATGAATCCATAAAGTCTGAGTCTTCATCAGTGGAAACCACAGATGGAAACCTTACCCCTAGTCAACCACCATTGAAAAACCTTCTATCACTTTTGAAAGCCTACTATGCTCTGAATGCACAACCAAGTGCCGAAGAACTTTCTAAAATTGCTGATTCGGTAAACCTACCACTGGATGTGGTAAAAAAATGGTTTGAAAAAATGCAAAGTGGAGAAATTTCTCTCCAATCTTCTAGGTCATCTTCACCAAAAGCAGACCAGGATGGTAACTTGCCAGAGAAGAATACTGAACTGCAAGAAGACAGTGATGTTCAGAATGAAGCAAATGATGTGCAGAACCCTCCAAAAAATGAGCCCTCCCAACCATTGGCTGCAAATGGTTCAGAGAGTGGCACAACCTCCCCCTCACCACTAAACCTCTCCTCGCTAAAAAACTCAGATGGTGCAACAATATCTGACGAGGTACAAGGTGACCAAGAGCAGCAAATGGAAACCTCTCGATTTATCTTTACCAAAGCAGCTTGGAAATGGGTTGGAGCGACCTTCCATAACTAGTGTTTACCAGAGCAGTGTTTATTCTATTCAAGAAGAACCCTTGAACTTGTCTTGTGTTAAAAAAGAGCCAATGCAAGTGGACAGTGTCCCAATATTGGAGCCAGCTCTAATTTTAAACCCAAGTGCCAATCCCATAAACATTGCTATTCCCACAGTCACTGCCCAGTTACCTACAATTCTTGCCATTACAGATCAGAATAGTGTTCCCTGTCTTAGAGCACTAGCTGCCAACAAGCGGACTATCTTGATTCCCCAAGTGACATACACTTATGCCACCACTTCTACTGCAACAGTTACAGAACCACAACAGAAGAGCCTTCAAGCTAATGGAAATCAGGTAATAAGAAATGCTTTTTGCGTTCTTTTACAGAAGAAAGTAATATGTTCGTATGGAAATGTTTTGTATTAAAAGCTGTCCGAAGTCTTGGTGCACCATTCAAGGCCATGCAATTTGCTTAAAGCTGAACTCTGGGGAGATATAAAAACACTATTTATTCTAGTTATGTGGTCATTAACATTTCATGGATTTTTTTTTACAAAAAAGGGAGAATAATAGACCAATGATGGTCCACGAAATGACATATAATACTTACAATAAAGTTTACCGACATTAACATATGGCTAAAGCCTAGCCTATGATCTTAACCTGTTGTCTTCTGCTATGAGCGTTATCATACTATACTCTCTACTGTAATTACATTGGTGCTCTAAACAACCAAGACTGTGTGCAAGCATCAGCACTGAGAGTTGCCAGCCACCTTTCTCATATCAATGGTCAAGATATCTGTGTTTCCTACCCCACTAATGGCAATATAGTCTAGTCAAGGGAACCAGATTTTGTGGAATTTGCAGGATAATGCCTACTGAGGGTTGAGTTTATATTAAAGGTACAATAGTGTTAAATAAGGGTTATAAGACTCTCAGTTGGTGGGGTGGTTGGTGCCATCGGAGGAGAATTAATTTTCTGGCATAAAACATATCAGGTTAATGATTAATTCCCAAGCCCAAATAGGGGTCAGAGCAGTTTAAAGACCTAATAAATATTAGCAAGACTCTTGTGATACTATTGACAAGTTTAGTGATAAATGTTTCAGAAGGCTACATTTCTAGAACTTATCTAAAACATCCATAGGTGTACAGAATTCAAAGTTACACTTGGTTGATGTATTTTTAGATACAACTACAATATGAGGTTGGTGTAATTATCTGGGGGGGGGGGGCTGAACACAAATGCACACCACACTTTTCAGAATTTATCACGCTTGTCTGACCTTTCAGAAAGCAGGGGAGGACAGCTGAAATTACTCTCTGAGGCTGTCAATTACAGGATGTCTGCTGGGTGTCCCTCCCCTGTCACCATATTTCTCTTGGTGTCAGGAAAACTTGTCAGAAGTGAAGATAGCAGAGGACTGAAGCAGCAATTCAGAAATGATACTTAGTTCTCTTAATTAAGACAACTATCCACTATAGAGGGATATGCTTTGTTCATATTTCATGTCTAAGGCAACCACTTTAAAGCCTCAATCTTTATACCCCTGTAATAACTTGTGTCCTTGCTGTGGTAATCGTAGCTGGCTCTTTTGTACACAACAGCTGCATGTTCACAGACTGTTCTATGCCTTCCCTTGTACCCAGAGGCGTAGCTTGAATCTTGTGGGCACCGATCTAAAAGTTGACCTGGGCCCCCCGCCCCCCCCCCCCCCCCCCCCCCCCCCCCCCCCCCCCCCCCCCCCCCCCGCCCCCCCCCCCCCCCCCCCCCCCCCCCCCCCCCCCCCCCCACCCTTCGGGCTCTCTGACTCCCAGGTACACACTATAAAGGGATATGCTCATATTTGTTCATATTTCATGTCTGATGTTTACAACCATTTTAAGCTGGCCATACACAAATTTCAGTTAGCTCCTAAGGATTTTGATGAAATTTGCTCAATGGGTGGTCTTGTCAGCCACCTCCTGTCCGGGCCTAAAATTGTTGGCCGAAAAGAGGCTGCATTCAGTCAGATTCAGCCACTGCCTTCTGTCAAAATACAAAAGAGACAGTGGAAGAGTCGTGATCACATCCCCTATGGGGTATCCAAGTGAAAAAACAAATAAATAACACAGTGAATATGTAATATAAACCAATGGTCTCAAAATAGACCTATTGTGATCCAACTATACACAATAAAGTGATGAATGTCCCAAATCTCAATTGAGATTAGTGATAAAAGACTTGATAATCAAAAAAAAAAAATGAATAGTGACACACACATGTGATCCCAGCACTGGGGGATAGGTATATCAATATTGGGGAAAAAAGTGCTCAGTGATAAAAACACTCCAAAAAACGTATATAAATACAATACTACTAATAAACTAATAATAATAGTTTCAGCCAATAATAATTCAGAACTGTATGACAGGCAGCTAAGGCAGCCAATGAGAGGCTGCGAATGCTTGAAAGCTGGAGCGGACAGTGGGTGCAGTAGCAGTTGGTGAAGGGCACAGAGCACATTGGTGAACAGGCAGGCAAGAGCTGGTTATACTAATTATAGCCAAAGGGGATTTTGGAGCTGATCCTGACCTGGAAGGCTTATACGCATTTATCTGATGTTAGGTTTTGTCTGCATTGGAGGATACCATTAGGAGGAATCCGTTCTTGGAGGGTCCAGGAGTGATCCCAAAAGCTAGTAGGCCCTTCTAGGGTCACGGTGAGGAGCCAATTTCGCTATATTTTGGTTCATCACCAGAGGCTGCGATGCACAGGATCACCTGCATGTTTTAACCTTTGTGGAACACTGGTGTCACATTTGTTGGACTTTTGTTTAGAACAACGTATTGCAATATTTTATTTAGGGGATTTATATGTTCATTTTCTATTATATTTTTTATTATTATTATTTATTTTGAGGCTTTGGATGTGAGTTTATTAGTAGTATTGTATCTACATATGTTGTTTGGAGTGTTTTTATCACTGAGCACTTTTTTCACCAATATTGATATACCTATCCCCCAGTGCTAGGATCACATGTGTGTGTCACTATTCATTTATTATTATTTTTTTTATTATCAAGTCTTTTATCACTAATCTCAATTGAGATTTGGGACATTCAGCACTTTATTGTGTATAGTTGGATCACAATAGGTCTATTTTGAGACCATTGGTTTATATTACATATTCATTGTGTTATTTATTTGTTTTTCACTTGGATACCCCATAGGGGATGTAGTCACTATTTATTATTATTTTATTACTCATTTTTATATTTGGTAATAAGAGCACTACACCATTTCTCTGTATATATTTAGCATTTTCACTTCCAGGTAATAAGGTGCAGGTGTTAGCAGCTTTATCCTTTATGAGCTGCAGTGGGGCAAAAAAGTATTTAGTCAGCCACCAATTGTGCAAGTTCTCCCACTTAAAAAGATGAGAGAGGCCTGTAATTGGCATCATAGGTAGACCTCAACTATGAGAGACAAAATGAGAAAAAAAATCCAGAAAATCACATTGGCTGATTTGGAAAGAATTTATTTGCAAATTATGGTGGAAAATAAGTATTTGGTCAATATCAAAAGTTCATCTCAATACTTTGTTATATATCCTTTGTTGGCAATGACAGAGGTCAAACGTTTCCTGTAAGTCTTCACAAGGTTGGCACACACTGTTGCTGGTATGTTGGCCCATTCCTCCATGCAGATCTCTCTAGAGCAGTGATGTTTTGGGGCTGTCACTGGGCAACACGGACTTTAAACTCCCTCCAAAGATTTTCTATGGGGTTGAGATCTGGAGACTGGCTAGGCCACTCCAGGACCTTGAAATGCTTCTTACGAAGCCACTCCTTCATTGCCGAGGTGGTATGTTTGGGATCATTGTCATGTTGGAAGACCCAGCCACGTTTCATCTTCAATGCCCATGCTGATGGAAGGAGGTTTGCACTCAAAATCTCACGGTACATGGCCCCATTCATTCTGTCCTGTACATGGATCAGTCGTCCTGGTCCCTTTGCGGAGAATTAGCCCCAAAGCATGATGTTGCCACCCCCATGCTTCACAGTAGGTATGGTGTTCTTTGGATGCAACTCAGCATTCTCTCTCCTCCAAACACGACGAGTTGTGTTTCTACCAAATAGTTCTATTTTGGTTTTATCTGACCATATGACATTCTCCCAATCCTCTTCTGGATCATCCAAATGCTCTCTAGCAAACTTCAGACTGGCCTGGACATGTACTGGCTTAAGCAGGGGGACACGTCTGGCACTGCAGGATCTGAGTCCCTGGTGGCGTAGTGTGTTACTGATGGTAGCCTTTGTTACGTTGGTCCCAGCTCTCTGCAGGTCATTCATTAGGTCCCCCCGTGTGGTCCTGGGATTTTTGCTCACCGTTCTTGTGATCATTTTGACCCCACGGGGTGAGATCTTGCGTGGAGCCCCAGATCGAGGGAGATTATCAGTGGTCTTGTATGTCTTCCATTTTCTAATTATTGCTCCCAGAGTTGATTTGTTCACACCAAGCTGCTTGCCTAGTGCAGATTCAGTCTTCCCAGCCTGGTACAGGTCTACAATTTTGTTTCTGGTATCCTTCGACAGCTCTTTGGTCTTCACCATAGTGGAGTTTGGAGTGTGACTGTTTGAGGTTGTAGACAGGTGTCTTTTATACTGATAACAAGTTCAAACAGGTGCCATTGATACAGGTAATGAGTGCAGGACAGAGGAGCCTCTTAAAGAAGAAGGTACAGGTCTGCGAGAGCCAGAAATCTTGCTTGTTTGTAGGTGACCAAATACTTATTTTCCACCATAATTTGCAAATAAATTCTTTCCAAATCAGCCAATGTGATTGTCTGGATTTTTTTTCTCATTTTGTCTCTCATAGTTGAGGTCTACCTATGATGCCAATTACAGGCCTCTCTCTTCTTTTTAAGTGGGAGAACGTGCACAATTGGTGGCTGACTAAATACTTTTTTGCCCCACTGTACATTCAATTTTTGGCGCAGGAGGTTTTTATTATACAGTGGAAGAGTCGTACATCCACACTGTGAAGCTTTTTTTTTCCACAGTGTATTGGCAGCTTTACTTGTTAAGTAGATTGCATGCCAGCCCAAAATCTTTAATCCTTACAGCAGGCTGCAGGGAATGACCACTATGGTCTATGTTAGAGCTGTGTTTTTTTCTGCCCCTGTCCAACACATCCCCTGTTGTGCCACAGCTACTGTATATGCACAGTGTGAATCATATACTAACTAGAGGAAACCAGCTCCTTAGGGTGGCCATACATGGATCAATATATAATGGTGCCATACATGGATCGAAATCCGGCTGGTTCAGCAAGGACTGTCAGAATTTTTTGATCAAAGTATGGGCAGGC